GAAGTGGCGCACATTTTGGATTCCACTGCTAGCCACTATCCAACTTTTCATATAAAATGTTATTTGTATTTAAAAGAAACATTCTTATAGATGACATTTTAATATTTTAAGTCACATCTCATAAACACACACGCACACATACAGACACACGCGCGCAACCACCCCACTTAGCAACCATAATTTAGTTGATAATTTGAACAAATTTTTTTTTAATTTTCTTGTTGTTGCCATGATAAGCTGTCATATATGTAAGTTTATTTTGTTTATAAACTAGGGAATAGGGAAAAAAATCAATGAACTAATGTTTTTGGCTTTTTTTCTTCTCTTTTACTCTTTTTTTTTACACAATTCCTCTCAATTCATGACATTTCTACAAAAGAGGAAAAAAAAAACGTAACAACACAAAGAAACTAAGATACATTGAATATTGATTGATTTATTGAAAGATTATTAAGTATCATATAACTATTAATCTCTAACCAATGATTAAAGACTTTGGGTAACATTGGCTCAGAATCGATCACAATGATATAGGTGTATACACCTATACATCTATAAACTAATTCTTTCTTTCTTATATGTAATCGTTCTTTTTAAATATGATCACCATTGAAATAACTGTTTCTATACATCATGTTGTGCTAATATGAATGAAGTAATGGTAACTTGAACCAATGTATATATATATATATATATATATATATGGGCCTAGTGATTGATCGTATAAATCAATATAACTACAAGGTGCATCATTTTTGTGATTTGTCTTTTTTTAGTCATTCATATGTTACTACCTGTTATCACTATGGGAAATTTAAAGAAAAAAAGACCCTTTTTTCTTTATGGTTTTACTAAAAAGAGAGATAACAAACAAACAAACAAACAAAAAATGTAGTTTACATTAATTTGGACAAAAAGTGAAATGTAAATAGATAAATAAAATTTTCCAGGTGAGATTGTATAATTTATAGAGGAACCAATCAGATTTAAGATTATAGGTCTTCAAAATTGATTGATCACTGGGTGGTGATGAATGTCATGAGTGTCTAGGCCTTATTAGCGCAGATCGAATGCTATCGACCATAATGCAATGTGGCCACCAATCTAGGTGACTCGACACTGTGGGCACTATGTATTGAGATTTAGATGGTGGTTGGAGGTAGTCAACAGGAAACCCTGGACCCGGGTTTCGTGCTACTTGGCACTCGTCAGCAAAGTGTACCTGTAATCTTGAGGGAACTGGTTCTCCCTGGCGGATTCGATCCCTTGTCATTCAGCTTCACAGTCAGAGACGTCACCACTGAGCTGTCCGAGCCGCGACCGACCTCTTGGATTTTGGCGCGAAATGTTTCATTCATCTATTTGGTTCAGTAAAGTTTTGCTATTATCATTGATGTTACAGTTCATGATGAAAACCATAAACATAACTCCTAACCCTAATCATTAACTGTAAAGTATAATTCTAGTTCCTCACATTAGTTTATAACATTCATTTTAATCCTAGTTATTAGGTGGACACTCTAAAGGTTACACTAATGTCATTCAAAGATCGTTGATAACTTATCGTCTCATTATCAAATGTTGTTAGAAGAAATCATAGATTCATCACTGTTCGTTTATTGAACTAGATTATTGAGGAAGACAAATTTCATCTTTCAATAGTGTAACAAGAAGACAAAAATTATCAGAATTGTGTGATGAAATATTAGCGTAATGCATTTCAAACAATCTGATCATTTATATATAGAAATAAATAAGGTCACTTAAACTAGAAACGGAAAATGAAAGGATACAAAGATAATAAAGTGATAATCAAGTCCTGGGTTCGAATCCCATGGGGTGCGGGATTGTGGATGCGCACTGCTGAGGAGTCCCATACTAGGACGAAACGGCCGTCCAATGCTTCTAGGTTTTCCATGGTGGTCTAGCTTTAATTAACTCATAAATTCAACAAGTGAAAGTGAAAATTATTTGAAACCTCGTCATGATAGATAATGAGCTAGTATTATCTGGTAGATTTAAGGTAGAAATAAACTATTTTTGAATACATAAATAAGGAGTTAGTATTTAATAAACTTTAGTATACGTCGGCTAGCAGTGGAATCCAAGACGAGTGTTTCGTCCTATCTAGGGCTCGTCAGTTGGATGTACCTGCATCTCAGAATTAATGTACACTCTGTGACTTGAACCAAGTACCATTCGCTTCAAACACTATCGCGTTATCCATTCAGCTACTGAGTCCTGATAGTCACTTGCTTGTGCAATGGGGTGAATTTAAATTCACTTGGTATTATTTGGCGTCCTGGATTCCACTGCTAGCCACTATCCATCATTGCTTATAAAAAGCTTTTGAATTGAGGCAATATCGAGGCATACGCACAGTATACACATATGCCAATAACAGAATGATCAATTGCAGTCTTAAACCTCAATGGGAAGATGCAAGCCAAATAATACCAAATGAATTTAGTACATATCCTTTTACACTTTTATACAACATCACAAAAGCCGTGTTAAGATCAATTTTATGACCTGTTTCACATATATATTTGATATTAAAAGATTGTGGATGTTTATCCTCTACTCTATTTCATTTTACAAAAACTCGTATCTTTGGTAATAACAAATCATTCAGACTCCTCGACAGTGCGCATCCACGATCCCGCCCCGCGCGATTTGAACCCAGGATCCAGTACTTATGATCTTAACTACTGAAAATTACTATAATAACTACAAACCCCCTTCTGATTTGTGATCATGTTAACTTTTCGCTTCTGAACCTTGATTGTTATTATTATGTGAGCGTATGTGTGTGTACATCATATCCTATTCATCACATATCTGTAACTTGTTTATTCATGCGTGGTTAGATCCAGTTGGCTCATTCAGTTATTGCACCGAGTGTCATCTAATCTCTCTTCTCTCTCTTTTCTCTTCACTTTGTTCCTTCGCTTGTTTATCTGGATCAACGGTGGTATGAAATATACGTATTCAATATTCATTCTCGTATTTGATTTATTTTAATTCCGTTATATTCACTAACTCAAGTCTAGTCGATGATTATATACGAGGATTAGTTGACATGCGTATTTCGATAACAATCATTCATTCAATTTAACTGGAGTCAGATATGAGGCCAATTATTTATGTTCTCATTCATTAATTGAGTTACATACTTCAAAGAATGTCTATCTGATTCATTTATCCAGGATGAGATAATGGTTCGAATTATATTTTTTTCTTTTGGTTAGCGTTTTTTAAGCGAGTTAGTTATCTACGGAATAGGGTCTCTAACCGTATGCCCAACCCTCCACCTTTATCCAGGTTTAGGACCGACAGTAGCCCAAGAAGGGTTCCAGATGGAGTTAGGATAAGATCATATGGAATGTATTTTATACATTTGAATTTATGCCAGCCAAACCGAATTAACTGGTACATTTTATCATACTATACTTTCATTTATTACAATATTCCAAAGAAACTATTGGCAGTGACGTTAAGAAAGTTTAAAGAAACTAAAGAAGTTCCCGATATTAACTAATGTCATTATTGGAATGTCTTGGTTATTGAACAATGTGATCAGATGAATTGTTAAGACAATCAAATGTCATTTTAATACGGTTAAATACAGTTAAAGGGTATGAAATTCCATCAGTTAATTATACAAATATAGTCTATATTCATGTGAATAAACTAATGAATGAATAAAATGTGATCACTTGTAGTGATCGTTATTCAATATGATCTTTAAACTTCGTATACAGTTCGTCTTGATAACCATTACTAGATAACGCCTCAACGGTGTATTCATCAGAAGACGAATACGACGAAGTGTTGATTACGTTGATTATGGGACTACACACAGATAAACAAAATTACAGATACGTTAAGCAAGCATGAAAGAGCAGTGCTGAAAGGCTAACGGGCAAGTAAGTGAATAGGATTAAAATGTACATATATACATAATGAAATGAATAAATCATCGAATCAATTAAGCGGTTAGTAGAAAGGCTAGCAGCGAGAATAAATGCGTAGGCAGCAAGCAACGCTCAAGCATACATGTCCATATATTCGCAACAATAGTAAAGGTATAATGATATAGATAAGTTGTTATTGTACGAATGACTCTGTCCATTAAATAAGTTAACAAAAGGGTTTAACAAAATTAAATGTGAACATACTCAATTGCACGTGAGTTGGTATACTCTCTTCACTAATCCTAATCTTCATTCTATTTATGATCGAATCCTGAAAGTAGCCTAAGTAATCTGGCATTATGACGTGTTTTATACTCAGCGTATTGGAAATAGTAGTAATAAAATTATCAGAAGGGATTTTTTGTGAATATTACAGTAATTTCAATAGTTGAGATCATCAGTCAGTTGAAGATAGACCACCACCACTACTGACTGGCTTCAAGAGCTATATCCTAGAGTTCTAGTGAGAAGCACTGACCAGTAGAGTTCAACCGGATCAGTTGTGGGATAGTAACTTACTGATGAGAATGGTGAATGTGTCGGTCAATTTCGTGAACATTAAAACCGTTGGATATTGGCCGGCTCAATGGTCTATAGGTTAAGCGCTTGTGCGCGAGACTGATAGGCCCTGGGTTTGGATCTCGCAAGATAAAGTCGTGGATGCGCACTGTTGAGGAGTCCCATACAAAGACGCAACGGACGTCCGATGCTTACAGGTTTTTACATGGTGGTCTAGCTTCAATTGATTTATGATCTTAACTATTGAAAATTATTTATGTTGAAACAATACATCATTATTTTTTTGATGGAGTTTTGTTCTCTGAGCTGGATGGTTTGGTCGTGGAGCTTTCTTCTATCTGAAGTTTGTGCTGATGATGTCGTTCAGAAGAACGATGAAAGCTCCACGACCAAACCATCCAGCTCAGAGAACAAAACTCCATCAAAATCATCCACCTGAGCTACAAATCTTCTCCACCATCTCAACATCATTATTTTTATTCATTTTTCTTCTTTGAATTCTAGCTTATGAAACATTTGTCTATGAACGTAAAGAAACTCAAATTGTTGAAGGTGTTTTAGGTGAGAAATTAATAGTGACATGCAATCCAACAACTTCTCAAAATAATTGGAATAACAAAAGCATCGTCTGGTATCGATTACCTGGTTTAAAAATTAATGGACAAATCAGCCCTAATTTATACATTGATAGATTGACAATTGATGATTTAGGTACTTATTTCTGTTCCGAACATTCAACATCATTACATCGTAATTTACCAGTGCAAAAAATTGAAATATGGTCACATAATTTTATGTCAGGTATGAATAGTTTTGCTTTATTACTTCAATATTTCAGTTACTATCCTGTTTATCATATATTTAAAGTAGCTACTTATACTTACTTACTTACACCCGTTATTACTCGTGGAGGAGCATAGGTCAACCACCAGCATCCTCCAGCCAACCCTGTCCCAAGCAATCCTTTGCCGCTGTTTCCAGTTGTTATTCATTCTTTTCACATCTACTTCTATTTTCCAATGTAATGTGTTATTTGACTTTCCTGTTTTTCACTTCTCTTTAAGATTCCAAGTTGGGGGTTGTCTCGTGATGCAGTTTGACGATTTGTGTAATTCATGTCCTGTCCATTTCCATCGTCTTTCTCTAATTTCCTCTTCAGATGGAAGCTGGTCTGTTCTCTCCCACAGTAGGCTGTTGCTGATAGTATCCGGTGAATGGATGTTGAGTATCTTGTGTAGACAACTATTTATAAATACTTGTACTGTTTTGATGATGGTTGTATTAGTTCTCCCTGTTTCAGGTTAATACAGTAGAACTGTGTTGACGTTGGTGTTGAAGATTCTGACTTTGATATTGGTTGACAGATAGTTGTTTTGAGTTCCATATTTTCTTCATATGACTCTTTTTTTATTTAGACTATTTATTCCTAGAAATTATAAATTCCAATGTCAGTTGGTTGAACGAAATCGGTAGTAGGCTCCTCATCTCCGTCTTTTTCAGTTGATAATCAACCAAAATCATTAAAGAAATGAAATTCTCCTTATGAATTAAGTAGTATAAATCAATATGTCTGAAAGGTTTTCAGCCAACTAATAGTTACAAAGTATTTATTAGCTTATTTACTTACGTCTCCTACTCCCAATAGAGAATAGGCCTCCGATCAGCATTCTTCAACCCACTCAATCCCTGAGCCTTCCTTTCTAGTTCTATCCAATTGTTTTTTAATTCTTCTCATGTCTGCTTGTCTCTATTTCTCGGCGTATTGTGTTCTTTGGTCTTCCTCTTTTCCTTTGGCCTTGAGGATCCCATATGAGGGCTTGTATTGTGACGCAATTGGGTGCTTTCCTCAGTGTATGCCTATCTACTTCCAGCACTTCTTCATGATTTCTTCCTTCACTGGAATCATTTATTATCTTAGTTCATAACAAATACTTATTCCACTGATTGAAATCATGAATCAATTGAAGCTAAACCACCATGGAAAACCTGGAAGCATTAGACGGCCGTTTCGTCCTAGTATGGGACTCCTCAGCAGTGCGCATCCATTATCCCGCACCCCACGAGATTCAGACCCAGGGCCTATCGGTTTCGCGCCAGGCGCTTAACCAACTAGACCACTGATCCAACGTCAGCTAATGGTGTTAATGTCTAACTCCAACCAATCAGCGAAGTTCCGCCACCGTATACCATTGTCTTCAGTGAGCTGATATCTCACAACAGACCTGGTTGAACTCCACTGGTAACGGCTTCCCACTAGAACTCCAGGAGTATCTCTTGAAGTCAGTCACTAGTGAGCAGATGATTATTATCAGAAGGGCTGCGGGATCGTGGATGCGCACTGCTGAGGAGTCCCATACTGGGACGAAACGGCCGTCTAGTGACTCCAGGTTTTCCATGGTGATCTAGCTTCAGTTGACTCATGATTTCAATCAGTGGAATTTGTAAAATCTCCACAAAACCCCTTCTGATAATAACTTATTCAGCTTGTAAATAATACAGTAATCAGTATGTTAATAAAACAAAACAAATACAACCCAACATTCTATAAACCTGTTTACCATTGAATAAGTATATGAAAATACAATTCATGTAAAACATTTGAAAACCATAAGTTTCATTATAAGTTCGGTTGAATGAACTAACTAACGAACTAAAAAAAACTGTGATCGTTTTGTAAGATGGTTAATATAAACAATCAATTCAAGGTATACATAATGATATAGTTGTAAGAGGTTCGTCTTTTTCTTCTTCTTCTTCTTCTTCTTCTTCACATCAAATCAATTGAATAGATATAGTACGTAGTGATATATGCTACTGATGTCGACAGATATCATAAGTAGTATGTATCATCAATTGAAAGTGAAATGACTGGTGGCAGAAGAAGCTTAAGAAGATCAAAGTGAAGAGAATGAGAACGAGATAAATGATAGATATTTTGCAAATGAAGTTTTAATTGTATGATTCTCCGATTTTACTAAAAATGACCTGTAATCGATTTTGGTTATCTTCATTTGTGTACTTGATCGAAACAATTGCACAAAATATTGATTTAATGAGTATCTATTAAATGATGAAGAGAATCAATTTAGCATGGGATTCTGATGTAATAATGATTCATAATGATTAGATTTGTGGAGATTATAGTATATTCATAGTTGAATTTACGAGTTAATCTAAACTAGATCACCATTAACGATTGTAGATGTACACTGTTGAGGAGTTTTATACTAAGATGAAATGGCTGTACAATGTTTTCAGGTTTTCTATGGTGGTCTAGCTTAGATCAATTCATGGATTCGTAATTAATTAAGCAAACTGTTTTACAGATTGTCCATTATATTAGTACTATTACATAATAGAGGTTCGGTAATTGTATTTTGATTAGTAACTGAACTAAAATGATTTTAAACTGCATAAATAAATCAAACTATTCGAAGTTCTTTTTTAGTGTTAAATAGTTAGCTGGTTTATTTTATGCCCATTGGTACTTGAATGTTGGGAAAGTCTGAAATGAACCATGTCAATATTTTTAAGCAAAGATCGATAGGGGCTAGTAGTGGAATCTAGGACGCGCGCTACTTCGTCCTATTTGGGACTCGTCAGCTGTATGTACCTGCATCCCAGAATTGATGCCCGATCCCGGATTCCAACCTAGTACCGTTCGCCTTGAACGTCGTCGTGTTATCCACTTAGCTACTGAGTCCTGATAGCCACTTGCTTGTGCAATGAGCGTGAAGTTTAAATGTCAACATTACTTTATAACTCAGTAGTAAATAACGAATAGACTTACATAACAAGAACATAAAACTTAAGTCAACTATGTAATCAAACAAACAAACTGATGATAATTAGATTTAGAATGTATGAAACATCGTCTCGTGATTAAAAGATACGATCTCAACTGGAAAGGATTACTCAGAACAGAGTTGGATAGAAAATGCTAGTGAGCGGTCCATGTTCCTTCTCTACCGAGGGATGACAGGCGTAAGTTAGTAATCAAGTGAGATATTAATTCACTATATCTTCAAAGCAATAAGAGGAATAATAAGAATTAGAGAGGGGGAGGTTGATTATGAATACAGTGGTCTTGAGTGCTGTTAGAGGTATGAGGGCAGTTATCACTTCCAAGTTGCCCACACCATGGAAGGGTTCTACTGGAGGTACCTGAAAAGGAAATTGGATTAGAGGTGGTCTTAGTGACCTGAGAGCGTGACCTCAATGCCCAAGAGACAACTGCTTGAGGTCGGTCACACACGACTTTTTTATGAGTAAGTTTTGTGTTAGCTCCGTACTTGCTGAGACCTTATCGCCGGAGATGGATATCTGTGGGATAAGGCGAGGTGTACATTTTTAGGGTTGACCTTTTCTAACCCCACTCCTTCTTGTGGGAAAGCAGCATCGTTGTCATGCTGGTTGTCTGAAGGAAACACCTTACTGCCTTCACACCTCTGTACAGTCAGTAGTACGACTTCGCCTTCGAACCTTGGGTTTGTTGCTTTCAGTCTTACCGTTCTTCAACAGACCTGTCTGACATAGCAGGGCCTCGAGGAACGGTTGTTCTAGCCTGTATAGCTCGGTTGCTTCATCACGATTGGCAAGCTCGACCACCACGTCAAGGTAGCAATAAAGTAATCTTTGTTTTAGTACCGTTGAACTTATCTTATTTTCAATTTATTTAATATTCTAGAAATTAATTTTGGAAAATTGATTACCTCTGAGAATCTAACCTATTTCCAATGCCCTAATGTATTCAATGAATATACATTTGTAATATGGGAATATCCTATGGGTAATGTAATTGTGAATGAATATGATTATAAATTTGAACATCCTTTACAATTACATCATACTAAACATCCATTACCAATATGTCAATATGGTTGGATTGATCAAATGAATACAACAATAGACCAGCATACTTATTTAAAACGTGCACGCAGATCCATTGAATGTAAGTTTGATTTACTTTCTATCATAATATGTTATCAACTAGTGATGCATACATACATACATACATACTTACCTACTTACTTACGTGAATTAGTTTTCTACAGGAAGGGGTCACTAACCCCATTTCCAACCCTACTCCTTTACCTGAGTTGGGGATAGGCAGTAACTCTAAAAGAGCTAGCTATAGGAGGAGTTATCAACTGGTGAACATTGAACTGTTTATTTTTGAAGTAATTATTATCATGGATTGTTATCATTTAAAGAATTCCATAAAGCTATAAAACACTTAACAGCTGTTTAATTTATTAACAGTCTGTGTTGTTGTTATAGCTTATGCCCTGTATCCTATTAATGTATGATGTAATGATACCGCCAATTAGAGAGCAGTGAATTATCGATCGAACCAATGATATGTAAACCTCTACGGGCAACCTACAGTACTTATCGGTCCTATCTTTCTGTCTAGCCCTGCCTGTTCAGTCCAGAAAACCAATCTCAGCTTCGGTGATATGAATCATGTATTTTAAACATACTGGGTTTATGGGTAAATCAAACGGACCAAATCGTACAATAAAATAGAAAATAACATTTGTACAAGATCTAGCCGAAAGTGGCTGTGATTGTGGTAGACTGTAATTAATAGACTGGGCATAACTCAAGAATGGTAAATCGTATAATAATAATAATATTAATAATAATAATAATAATGATAATCTGCGGGTAACTCTAGTTTACTTGAAGGCTGTGAGTTTGATTACATTTTCCTCGTAAATTTATTCATTTTTTTAATTTAAACACATAAACATTGATACAAGGATCCATCAAATAGATATGCGCCATATACATCATTTGATTTATGTGAGGGCTGGGATACTGTCCGGGTGCCCAAACCGGACCAGGTGGTTCTCTTAGGGGGCTCTACTTAAAGGTCTTATCCACAAGGCAGTGGAGCGATGTCAGGAGACGGACAGTAAATTCGTACACCACTAGTTTCCTTTGGATCCTGAAATCCATGTGGTTTTCCAACTCTCCTAGGCGGATCCTCTGTATTCATTAACCTGGTTATATCGCCAGACATTCGCTTTTCATTCTCTCAATTTCGTAAACAACAGCCCCGTCGCAAGAGCATAGAACTTACTTGGCAGTGGTTTTACGCACGTGACCATGTGAGGGTAATTCGAGAGAGAGAGAGAGAGAGAGAGGACGGTTTCTCCTCACTCTCGACTGTACCGGAACAGACTTCTGAAAAACCTCCAAAACGAGAAGAAAACACCTTTTAAATAATTCATGATGTGCAATGATTATCTGACTGATTGTTATTTCTTTATGAAAATTACTTTCGAGCTACTGAAAATCTTTACAAAATAGTTTTAATGGAATAGATTTGTGGAGATTATTGGATTATATAGTCTTTATCATAAACTGACCTCAGAATACATTTTGAAACTGAGAAGGACTGAGCAGATATTGACCTAATTTAAGAAACCTAAGATATTTAGTACTCATAGTGAACGTTTAATCTTAAGACGCATATTTAATGGTGTATATTCGTAACTTCAATCATTTCATGGTATTATATAACCATCTTCTACTGCCATTGATAAGTTGTGTTAAAACTGTGTGCATAAACATTACAGAGTAGTCGTATATTAATACGAAAATGCTATCGATTGTTCTTTCAGCTGACAGTCTTTCAAGCTATCGTTTATTCGGTAATGTTAGACATTAACACCGTTGGATGCCGACCGGCTCAGTGGTCTAGCGAATAAGCGCTTGCGCGCGGGACTGATAGGTTCTGGGTTCGGATCTCGTGGGTGGGATCGTGAATGCGCGCTACTGAAGAGTTCCACAATAGGACGTAACGGCCGTCCAATGCTTCTAGGTTTTCCATGGTGTTTTAGCTTCAATTAACCCATGATCACAACTATTGAAATTACTATAATCTCCACAAAACCCCTTCTAATGAAAATATTTATTTCCTTCATCTTTCACAGCAATTCCATATATTACCATCTCAAAAAGAATTGATCCTGATGATCCAACTGTTATTTTACAATGTCATATGCCGCCAAATGAAGCAGAAAGTGTATCATTTAATTATCAATGGTCAACAGTGGAAAGTGGAAAGATTGGTGATAGTGAAACAATAGTTCGTCAACTAATTATTGATCATATACCAGATGATGGTGTCAAACGAGATACATCAATAACTTGTGAAGTAACTTCATCTGAAACTGGAGAAATTGTTGGTTCAATTAAACTTGATTTAGAACCTAAATCTCTCAGTACAACTGGGAAGATGGGTAAGTATTCTTAATTCACTGGAATTACATTTAAATAATTTCGAGTAGTTTTGATCTCTGAACCCTTCGATTTGTGTGAGGGCTGGGATATTGCCCGGATGCCCAAACCAAAACAGATGATTTTCTTAGGGGGCCACACCAGGAGCCTTTGACCTAAAGGTCTAATGCACTAGGCAGTGGAGCAACATAAGGAGATGAAGTCCCATGGTAACCGGTGAACAACGATTGGTTCATACATTATTTGTCCCTTCAGGATACTGGAGCTCATGTGTACTACTGGTTTGGAATCAGGGTTTCCTAACTCCCCTAGATAGATCATCCGTATCCACCAACCCGGTTAAATCGCTGGACATTCGCTTTTCGTCCTCTCAATTCCGTAAACAACATCCCCGACTTGAGAAGGCAGTGAGTAGGACTTCTTTGTCAGTGGTTATATGCACGTAGTCATGTGAGAGCATTTCGAGAGGGAGAGCTGACTCGCTCCACTCTCGACCATATCAGAGCATTTGAGGCTACTTCCATTAAGCAGGGAAAAACACATATGTAAATAAATAAATAATCTTGTTTAGATAGCTAGTTAGTGTGTAATGAATCACAAGTATTATTCTCTTGACGTTTTCAATATAAATGATCTGTTTAAAGGCATTTCATTGATGTTGATTATCAATCTTGTAGGGTTATTGAATTAAACGTTTATCTGTTAAAGCTACATCACTGATATTCTGATGATGATCCTCTTCTGACTGAAGAGGGGATCGTAGATATTTTAAATATTTCATAGTTTAAATCACTAAATAATGATGATCAGTGAAAATTAGGAAACACTGAACGGCTATACCATCTTCATATGAGACTTCTCAATAGTTTGCAAGTATGATCTCAACATTAGGAGTTGAACTTGAGACAGTTTTCCGACATAGACGTCTAACATCTATCAATGGTTTAAATGTCTTAGTGATATGCATATTAAGAAACGATTTAATAATTTATCGTTACAAATATTCCATGCATGAGTATTCAAGGTATCATATTACAATTACCAAGTAACATAACTTAATAGTTGTATTTATGAGTCGATTAAAGCTAGACCACCATGGAAAACCCGGAAGCACTGAATAGCCGCTTCATCTTAGTATGGGACTTCACAGCAATGCAAACGCACGATCCCGTATAAAAGGGACTCGAACACAGGGGCTTTGATCTCACACATGAATGCTTAGCCTCTGGACCCCTGATGCAGCATGCACTGATGTCAATATCTAACTTCAGTCAATTACCAACAACGCAGAACTTCGTGCGTTCGTATAACAGTTCACTTTGTCATACTAAATTAGCAAAGAGATACAATTGTCAATTCAAATCTCATGGTGGTAGAGGTATTAAAAGTATAAGTATTTATCGGAAAGATCAGGGTTTGAAGATGTTATTCAACAGTGTAGTACAGTGAAATAAGTTTAGAAAGAGAAAACAAATGAAAATGAATCATTTAGAAGATTAGAATTTAAGAGAATGCATCTACGCCATTATAAACGATTTTAAGCCATCTCATTCATGGTCTCTGACTATCGAGTGTTATCATCTCGTGAATCTCAATTATATTTGTCTACACCTACCAATATGGCTCAATCTACTTCATAAATTTGTGCCATATTGTTATGTCATCATCCACCATTATCTTCATTAAGTCATTACCTTACAATAGACATAGTTGAACTCTCCTAGTCCATTAGTAATAATTTTATCCTTTCTAATCTATCAGTGAATTATGTAATAACATTGTCACCGTTGAATGAGAGCTTAGTAGTCTAATGGTTAAGCGCTCGAGCGCGAGACTGATAGGTCTTGGGTTAAAATCTCGCGGTGGGGGGGGAGCGAGATCGTGGATATGCACTGCTGAGGAGTCCCATACTAGGACGAAACGACCGTCCAATGCTTCCAAATTGACTTATGATTTCAACGAGTGAAATTTCTTATAAAAAAACAACTCTCCACAAAACCCCTTCTCACATTTATGTCATGTTGTATTGATACTTTCAAATTGATCCATTGAACATTGAAACAAATTTCATTGCCAATTTTATTATATACAATTATAAATAGATATATAAATAACTGTCAACTGATTTCAAACTATGATTATGTTTATGATTATATACTACTAATTATTTATTGACCTAATTAGTAATATATAATTGTGTATTTGTTTATGTAAATATTTTTCAAAAAAAATGGCGCGAATCAAATTTTAATGAATATTATTAATGATCCATATTTGATTACTGTGAAAATGAAATAAATTTGTTTATATATATATATATATATATATATATATATATATATATATATATATATATATATAAGTGGTCCACTAGGGTGCTTAGTACCTGTGTGGTTACGTCATAGGATTGAGTTGTATTATTCAGATTTTAGCGTTAAAGCCTATACGGTGTCTCGTTCCCCTGTGAAGCGAGATTGAGCTATACTGCTCGGTTTATAAAATTTAAGCCTGGTTGGTGTTTGGCTCTTCTGTTAAACGGGGTTGAGCTGTACTGGTCGGGGTTGTCACATAAAGGTCCGGATGGTGACTGGTTCTCTTGAAAACCAATGTAAAATTACCCTGGCCCACAAGGGTATATTATTTAACTGTAACTAACTGTGATATATATATATATATATATATATATAAGTAGTCATTTAAGTAACTAGATATGAGAACAATATGAATTTTAATAGTAATATAGTGTACTTGTAAATGGTAGGTTTTAAACATACTACTAACCAATCAATTGGATAGCGGATGGGGGAGGTATGGAGATTGTAGTCATTTAATAGTTGAATTGATGAGTTGATTCAAGTTAGATCATTATGAATAATGAAGGTCCAGATTTGTCATCAGCGTCCTTGGGAGTCATTGGTTGTTAATTGATTACAGTATTTCTCATTACCCTGCTGACTCAGAAAATGACTATCCTTCCCGATCAGTTACAGCTACTAATAGATCGCCAGCAGTGTTATTTTCCTGTTGGCCAATATTGTACAATGTTATTTTCTATTTTGTGGTACGTTGTGGTCTGCTTGATTGGTATATAAACAAAGTATGTTTGAAATATAATGATTCATAACCCAGAGGCTGTGACTTGCGTTCTAGACTCAACTGGCTGGGCTAGACAGCGAAGCAGGGCCAATCAGGGCACTAGGTCGTCCTTACGTGTTTACGTGTCTACTGTGCCCGATCGATCAATAAAACGCTGCGTATCAAAAAACCTGCAGTCACACACCCGTTACAACAGTCCGGATTTTGAATCTTATGAGTGTGGTCAAACTTAAAATGATTCAAATGGCTAAAGCAATATCTATCCGAATTAAGAAAATGGATCTATATGTAGAAAAGAAATAGATTCAATCATTTCTTATCATCTGGTTAACCTCAATACCAATTAATCAATAGTGATCTTTACTGTTGAATGACTTAATTTGACTGTTGTATTTATGACCTTTCGTAGTCTCTGTTATCATTATTCACAAATCTTTGTATCATTATTATTACTATTATTTATCTCCCTAATACATGATTTATTTATTTCGCCTTCATCCCACATTATTATGTCTTACTAATAATAATCGTGGTTGTGAACTGATGAGGAGTTCCATACTAGGACAAAACAACCGTCCAGTGCTTCCAGGTTTTCCATAGTAATCTAGTTTTAATAAACTCATCAATTCAACTAACAAATTCAAATTGAATAGTTAATGATCATTGCAATCCAATTAATCTATGATCATTTAGTTGAATTTAAACATGATTAAAATGATTGCATCCCAGAGTTGATGTTCACTTTGGGACACAAACTTAGTATCGTTCTCTTCAAATGCCTTCACGTAATCCAGTTAGCTACTGCCTTTCAGGACTCAGTAGTCAAGTGAGTAAAGTGAAGGCGTTTGAAGCGAGCCCCAGAGCGAACATCAACTGTGAGATACAGATACATCCATCTGACAAGTCCCAAATAGGATGAAACGTGTATCTTGGATTCCACTGCTAGCTACTATCCATCTTTGCTTATAAAGTCATCTACTATTTTTTTTGACGTTATCTTCTTACTGATCATGTTGTACACTGACACAAGTAATTGATATGTCAAGCATCATTTCCGTTTCAGATTACAGGGAATATTTGAACTCATATTGGACACTATATTCGTAAACCATAATTTGATTGAGTTACCAACTAAAATATATTGAAAGATAGAAGTTCATTAGTGACTACTAATTATTAAACTTATACAATTTCAATCATTTCAGTTGAGTTCAAATTCAACTAAATGATCATAGATTCATTAAATTATAATGATAATTGACTATTCAATTCGAATTTAATAGTTGAATTCATGAGTGAATTGAAACTAGACCACTATGGAAAACATGCAATCACTTGACGATCATTTCGATCATATCTCCGTACCGTCCCCGTCACAAATTGTTGTGTTTTGTGAACTGCAGATAAGAGCTAAGCGTATTTATCGATCGGATCAATGACACGTAAAACATGCACGAACGGCCTAGAGTTTCGATTGGTCTCGCTTCCCTGTCTAGCCCAGTCAGTTGAGTCCAGAACGCAAGTCTCAGCCTTTGAGATATAAATCATTGTATTTCAAGCATACTCTGTTTATATATCAATCAAACAGACCACAAGGTATCAATAAAATAGAAAATAAAATTTGTACAAGAGTTAACCAGAAGTGGCTGTGAATGAGGGAGGTAGCGATTAACAGATAGGGAATAATTCATGAATAGTAAATCGTACAATAGTAGTTCATAGGTCAACATAAAGCTCACAATAAGAGGGGTATGAATATGAACAGTTTAGTTACATAACAATTATACGATAAAAATATACACATAGTATTGGTCCATAAATGGATCCCAAAAATTACCATTCATTATTCTTATCAGGACACAACACTCTTCAACAGTGTTCATCCATGATTCAGTATATGGAACTCGAATCTAAGTTTTACAATTACTACAATCTACACAAATCTCCATTCTAATCATTAGAATTTAATAGTCAATTGAAACTAGACCATTATAGAAAACCTGAAGGCATTGAATGGTGATTTCGTCCTATTGTGTGACTCTTCAGCAGTTTGCATTTAGTTGAACTATCAAACGATCATTTATATTATAACTTATTAATTATTTGATATATTCAATTGTTTATGTTATAGAATTATCTGAAACAACAACAGAGATTTTCAGTTATCGTAATGGTGAATCATTGGAATTACATTGTGAATTAGAAAAAGATTTTGTTGGAACAGGAGAAAATGTATGAAACTATTTTCTTTTATGAATGATTATGTTGAAAAATAACGAGCTATTATATAGATGGTTAGTGGCTAGCGGTGGAATACAAGATGGGCACAACTTCGTCCTATTTGGGTTTCGTCATCTGGATGTATCTGTATCTTGGAGTTGATATCCACTCTGGGACTCGAACCCAGTTTCGCTCACTTCAAATGCTATCGAACTATCCAGCTGATGAGTTCAAAATAGAATGAAACACGCGTCTTGGATACCATTGTTAGCCACCATCCATCTTTGTTTATATTGCTTGTAACATAAATTAATATCTAATTATTCCAAGGATTTTCTTCAACTAGTTTTAATTTAGAAATATAGTGTCAAAACACTTGATTTACACTCTTGATATCACATTTTTGGGAATACAGATTGACTGAAGTAGTACTTGTATTTGACCACATATATCTTATAAATATTGCTCGCATCTACTGGGATCGCCGGGTAAGCAACAGTGAGGTTAAACGCAGGGTATTAGGGAATGATTATAAATCAGGTGATGAGATTGGAAATCTTCATAGACTAAGATGGTTGAGCCACGCGTCTCGTATGTCTGGACACCGATTATCACAATGCACAATGCTAACTAGTGTTAGGGATTCTTGAAAGAAAGTTAGGGATTGGCCAAACCAAAACGTGCCATCAGTCCTTGAAGTCCCTAACTTCTGGCCTTAACCATGTTGGTAGATGCAGACTACTTGATTGGGTTCCGTGTAACTATCGTAACCAATAGTTGGAGATTGTGAATGACATGGCTCAGAATCGATCACAATGGCATAGGTGTATTGCTTTATACCTTTCTTTCTTCCTGTACTATATCCTTATATACAATCTTTCTTTTATGAATTACTCCCGAATGAGACGATATGCATATCCTGGATTCAATAGCTAGTCACCATTCATCTTTGCTTATAATGAAATTTTGTGAATTCTAAATACATTATATAATGTCATCGTCCATATTTTTGTTTTTACATAAAACTCCACCGCGGTTTTCAGGTCATCTGGACATTCAATGGTGGTACATTACCAACTGGTACTAATCGTTTAGATAGATTACGAACAAGTGTAATTGTTATTAAAGAAATGGAAAATATTCATGAAGGTCTTTATGAATGTCAACAAAATTCGAAAAAATTACGAGGTCATATCATCAGAGCACCAAGTAAGTTGAAATATATACATATTCTAATCCAATATATGTAATTCTATACACTTACTATATATGGATTGTTTCATCAATCATATGAACACGATATATTATGAAATAACTGAAACTGGATATTAGAGTCATTGTATTCCAAATTGTTGATTGAGATCATGAACCGATCAATATTAGATCACCATTAAAAAACCTGGAAGCACTAGATACCCGTTCCGTCCTATTGTGCGATTTCTTAACAGTGTGCATCCACGATCTCACTCGTAAGATCCCAAATTACTGATCTACAGGTTATGGACTTCCTATGAGAAGTAAGGTTATTGTAATCTATTCTAAATGACATCATGGATATATACACTACTGAGAAATCCCATAAATGGAAGAAACGACTATTAATTACTTAATGTATTAGGTAGATAAAAAAACAGATTACTCATTTAAAATGACTTGATGTATATAGTATTTCACCTGAACCGTTGTCGTGTAGGTGTCAACACTATGAAGCATAAGATTTAGGTAAAACGATGTATCATAGATATTTAAAATTTCACTGTTATCATCGGATCATACTAAGTATCAGGTCTTTGTTCAAGTACATTCATGACTGTTAGTTAAAGATGGAAGTAAATCGACTAAGACAAGTCATAAATGGGAGGATTAACAATTACTAGTTATTCGATAATAGAATAACTTGTATGTGATGAAAGATTTCATAGAAAGTTCGTATCATCAACCTTTAAGGGTATTTCATACGTATAGTCATCCCTATTGCTAACAAAGTTATAAACATTAAAATTAGTAGGGAGATTTGTGAAGATTGTAGTATTTTTAACAGTTGAACTCATGTTAGACCACCATGGAAAACCTGGAAGTTCTGAACGGCTGTCTCGTCCTGTTGTGGAACACCTTGGCAGTGCGCATCAATGATTTCGCCTCGAGAGATTCGAACCCAGAACCTATCAGTCTCACTACGCGAACGTTTCATCTCTAGACCACTGAGCCAGTAACTAACAGTGTTAATGTCTGACTTCAACCAATCCAGTGATTTAATAGTTCTGTGTTCGAATCTCTTTTGTGGGGGATCGTGGATGCGCACTACTGAGGAGTCCAATACTAAAACGAAACAACTATCCAAAGTTTTCAGGTTTTCACCTATAGTCTAGCTTAGACCGATTCACGAATTCAACTATTAAATTGATTATAATCACTCTAATGTTGTCAACTTAAATATTTATTCTTCTCATATTTAACAACATTTCTTAGAATATTTTCACAGATTGATATCATGAGTCAGTTGAAGCTAGACCACCATTGAAAACCTGGAAGCACTGGCGCAACTTCGTGAATTGGTTGAAGTTAGACGTTAACACCGTCGAATGCCGGCTCAGTGGTCTAATGGTTAAGTGCTCGCGCGCGAAGCCAGTAGGTCCTGGGTTCGAGCCCCGCGTGGTGCGGGATCGTGGATGCGCACTGCTGAGGAGTCCCACACTAGGACGAAACGGCCATCCAGTGCTTCCAGGTTTTCAGTGGTGGTCTAGCTTCAACTGACTCATGATTTCAATCTGTGAAAATTTCTGAAAATCTCCACAAACCCGTTCTGATTTCTTAGAATAATCTATAATTCTCCTAATTAATAAATAAATTCTATATACTAATGGTTACTAATATACATGTTTTAAGGGTGGTGGTGTTGGTGTTGGTGGCGGTGATGATGATGATGATGGTAGTGGTGGTGTTAGTGATGGGGTCAAAATATAAGTACAAATTTTATTTTTTCATAAAATGTTGACCTTTCAAACAATAACATAATGTAAAGATGTAAACAAAATTTCTTGTGTCATTACAGAGGGAGAGAGAGATCAGGTTGAGGGGGGGGGGGGGGGGAAGGAGACTGTACACTTATGAGAACGTTTGTTTTTAACTATGAAAATTATATAAATATAACTTTAGAATCAGTTAGTTACATGAAAATAGTTTGTTTATCATGAACAGTTATAGGCTATAAATTTATTAGATGACAGTAGGCTGATTACACACTGATGTGTTATTTCAGTATTTGTGTAATTTTGTCAATAGACCGAAATTATTTGAATAGCATGAATGAATCATGACTGAATCATGTGAAAATTGAAGGATAAAATGTCCAGTTATATACAAATGTGTAGATCAATAATGTTGATGATCTCTGTTGAATGATTGGGGGGGTGGGCTTACTTGAGTTAGATGAGAATAGTGTGACTAACAGCTAACATCGAAGTTACATCTAGCAGTTAGCACTTAATATGGTTTATCCCTAGGTCGTATCAAGGTACTATGGTTGATTTGAAGACTGTATAACATAAAGGATGTTATTACAGAAAGATATTAGTCAGGTAAAATTGATAATTCTTACTAATTTGCATTATTATTGCATGATATTGTAAGATATAACAAGCCATAAACAGAATATTTTATGTAGTTCAACTTGTCATTATTGAAAAGACAAGGTATATATTTTACCAAAAACCAAAACAGTATTGCTTACAAGCAATTGTGTCTATCGATTTTCATTTATGAGTGGGAACATGTACTTACAGAGGAGCAATCGTGATCTGCAAGTAAGGGTAGAGGAACACATACCCAAATGTCAACAGAAACAAATGAATTCCAATGATCAAATAAGATCATAGGATAGACAGACATCATCCTCTATTGCGAAACATTTGATTGAGACTGGTCATAAGGTTGATATCAAGTCAGTATTTGTATTGTTGTACAAAAGCCTTCAAGGGAGTATACTAAGTCTCGATAATGTAATGAGAAGATGAAAAACCTGGAAGCACTGGATGGCCGTTTTGTCCTATTGTGGAACTCCTCATCAGTGCGCATCCACGACCCTACCTCATAGGATTCGAACCCAGGACCTATCAGTCTCGTAATTTTTTCCTAAAGTACAAATGATATGATTGAAAAGGAAACAGATGCATTTATAGATGTTAATGTCATGGAATGATCATGTATACAAACAATATACATGTTATGTATCCATGTCATAAGAAACTTTTCTGACTGTTCGCTACATACAACAAAAAAACAACAAAAACAAACAAGAACGAGCTATGATGTTGAGTCTATTGATGAAACTTGAAGAAAAACCTTTAAGAAATTCATGAAACCTTTACAGTTATATTTGAAGTAAATCATGTTTAACTGTATAGGTTGAGAAACCCTTAAGGATAATCTGATTCATGACAAATGATAAACCTTCCACAGTGAATAAAATGATAGAACATGTCATGTGTTTTCCAGTAGCTATGTTATTATCTAGATGATTGGAATTGAACTGAATTTCCTGATAATCATCTGTATATATGAAATTAACAAAACATTCAGAGAGATTATAACTTGTAAGAATTTCTAGGAATGTTTAGGGCAGTTAAAATAGAGATGCCAAGCGTTTACCACTACACATTATCTGTATATTTTTAAAAAGTGAATTCAGTATACTTTACATATGACTTCAGCTATAGTGGAGTTCAACTAGGTCAGTTGTGAAGTAGTTACTCACTGAAGACAATAATGGATGTGTTGCTCAATCTCGTGGATTGGTTGAAGTTAGACAATAACACTGATCGCGCATGAGACCGACAGATTCTCGGTTCGAATCCCGCAAGGGTGAACGTTATTAATCGCTATTAATACTGATCATTTATGAAAAGCAGACTTAAAAAAAAACATGATTAACAGAGTTACATCATAAAATTATCTTATTCATATTCTAATAGTGGTATTATCGAAATAATTTGATGAAAGATAATGATTCCATAAGACTGCTATCTGTACGAATAACTGTGGAAAAATACAATCATCATCAAGTTAGATTTAATTAACTGTATTTCATCAGATGATTCCTTATGTGAATTTTACTATATAGAACAGAGCTGTGTATTGTATGACAATACTCCTTCCTAACCATGAAGGCAGGTGTTCACTAACTCATTGTCTGGTAGTGAGCTCAATATAAATTTCTCCTCAGAAGCAGTTGAGGATGTGACAGAACAAGATAACCTAACCTTGATTGGTTTAATAGTTACGTATAACCATATAAATATTACCGTATATATTGGAGTAAAGATGGATGAGGATTTATTTAAAAACAATATTATTCGCTTATATATGGGGTATAATTGTCAGAAAAATAATTAATTTCATTGAAAGTATATTTTGAAAACCATTATTATGTGTTACATTTTGCCAGTGGAAAGACTACAATGAACAGTAAGCGTTTCCCAACATCTAAAGCACACGCTAAAAATGAGTAAGGTTAGAAGTGATATACTAACCAACAATATGATGTTGAATTCATGAATCCATAGAAGCTAGATCACCAAGAAAAACCTGGAAGCACTGTAAGGCCATTTCGTCCTATTGTGGGACTCCTCATAAGTGCGTATCCACGATCCACAGAAAACCTCTTTTTAATAATAATCATCATGTGCTTACCAGTGACCAGCTTCAAGAGATATTTTCTGGAGATCAAGTGAGAATCTGTGACCAGTGTTCAACCGTGTCTTTTGTGAGATAGTAGCTTACAGAAGAAAATTTTGAACGGTGAGAAAATTTCATGGATTGGTTGAAGTTAGACATTAACACCATTGGATGCCGATTCAGTCGTCTAGACGTTTAGCGTTCGTGTTCGAGACCGAAGACCTTGAGTTCTAATTCCTTTGTTGTGGAACCGTGGATGCTCATTGTTGACAAGTTCCATATTAGGACGAAACAGCCATCTAGTTCTTCCAGGTTTTCCATGGTGATCTAGATTCAACTGACTCGTGAATTTAACTAATAAACAATCTAACCTAATAAGCAAGGATGGATAGTGGCTAGAAGTGCAATTCAGGATGCGCGCTACTTCGTCCTATTTGGGACCTCGTTATCAGCTGGATGTACATGCATCCCAGAATCGATGTTCACTCCGGGACTTGAACTCAGTACCATTCGCTCCAAACGACATCGCGTTATCCACTTAGCTACTGAGTCCTGATAGCCACTTGCTTGTGTAATCGGGTGAAGTTTAAATCCACCTGGTATTGTTGTTTTACTTGTATCTTCCCATTATTATTAAGGACTGTAATTGATCAGTCTCATGTTGGCTCTTATTTAATTAATAAGTTAAACTTTGATCATCATTACTTACATATACTTTTTAATATTATTTATTACATTATTAGCTATTGTAACACTTAGTATCCTACCAAAAGAAGATGAAGCATGGGCAAATGCTGGTGATATTACTGAATTTCATTGTCGATTAGATGGTAGAGAATATGGTAATCAATTAATCGATTGGTATTTTATACCAGAAGGTGATGATCGTGAAATTTCACTACATAATGATGTTAAAATTGATAATCCTGATGCAACACCATCTACATCATTTTTAAGTATAATGAATGTACAAAAATATCATGAAGGTTTATATGTGTGTAGAGCATTAAATTTAAGAGATACTGCTAAATTAATTGTGAAAACAAGAGGTTAGTTTTTGAAATGAAGTTAATTTATGTTTTATAATGATTCAGTTTCTGTAATTCTTTCAGTAGTTGAGATCATTGAAGCTAGACCATCATGGAAGACCTGAAAACACTGAACGACTGTTTCGTCCTATTATGGGACTCCTCAACAGTGTGCATCCATGCCCCCCCCCTCGCATGATACGAACTCGGGACCAATTAGTTTTGCTCATGAGCGTTTTCCATGGTGGTTTAGCTCCAATCGACACATGATCTTAACTAATGAAATTACTATAATCCCCACCAAACACCTTCTGATATTATGTAGTTCTATTGAACGATTGGTGAGACTATAATTCATAGTCGACCTTTGAGGAACGCTAAAATGACCTTGGAATGTTTACCTACTTAGTAAGGTCAAATGAAGGTTATAAAGCTGTTTAAAGAATAGGGATCATAATTTGCAGTTGATGGTTAAGGTTAGGAATTAGATTCAATGTTTTCATTACGAACTGACATCATATATAATGCCGAAACTCTATTTAGCTATAAATCGCTGAATGAATTTCGCTCCAAAGTCCGTGACCTGCTACCTCAAATATCATTGATTCGTCCATGAACTTATAGTCTCACTGAACGATCGTTATTCCTTAAAGATTTACCAAGGTATCATAAACTTCTATGTAGAAGGTAGATATGCGTGCATTCAGAAAACCACACTGAACTAAAGAAGTTATGGTTAGAAGATTCACTACAAAACATTTTCAGTTTTGTGTAGGGTTATATGTGTTTGTTGTTAATGTTAATGACTGCAAGTATAGTCAGATGGGGATTTCCGAATACAATAAAACGTTTACTTGGATTCTGTGACTATATGACGATCCAAAAGTAGTCCGTTTGGAATGTACATATATACGAATGGAGATTGATTAGTTTCAGTCCATAAAATTGACAACGGGAAAATGCAAACAATCATAATGAAAACCAATAACCATTGGATAGGTTAGTGATTATACGGAGTCAACAGAACATTGGATAATGTAGTGAAATTTGAAACAAATGATATTAGATTCGAATCTTTGTTTAAGGATCAGTACTAGAATATAGGTAAGTTTAACTGCCTAGTTCAAATTAGGATAAAATGGGTATCTTGGATGTAATTGATTAGGAATACTTACCTTTAGTAAAATAATATCATTTATATAAGATGATGTAGTGGACTGTTATAATATTAAGCTTTAGGTTTACAATTTCAACAAAATGTAAACCAGTCTCCATGTATACAACAACCTAACGTTATAATCAGAGAGGGGTTTTGTAGATATTATAGTAATTTAATTGTTGAATTCATGAGAAATCGAAGATCATGAGTTCAAATCCCTTGTGCGACATCTAGGATGCACACTATTGAGGAGTTTGATACTAGGACGAAACAGCCATCCAGTGCTCCCATCGTCCAGTTTAAATGGATTTACGAATTCAATCTCCACAAAAAATCTGATAATAAGAATATAATTAACATTCATTTCTGCCTTCATTAAGTTCAGAATTACTGCTAAATTTCATTACTTTTATTTAATTATTTTAACACGTAGATATTGGTACAAGAACGCACCAAATACATATGTGCCACACAGATCTCATTTGATATGTGTGAGGGCTGTGATACCGGACAGGTGACCAAACCGAAGTACGTGGTTTTCTTAGGGGGCCACACTCTGAGCCTTCGACCTACAGGTCTGATCCATAAGGCAGTGGAGCATCGTAAGGAGATGCAGTCCCATGGTAGCCGGTGATCAACGATTGGTTCATAAACCATTTGTTCCTATAGGATCCTGGAGCCCATGTGCACTATTGCTTTGGAATCAGCGCTTTCCACCTCTCCTAAGTAGACTCTCCATGTCCACCAACCTGGTTAAAGAGCCGGACATTCGCTTTTTGTCTTCTCAATTTCGTAAACAACACCCTCGCCTTGAGAAGGCAGTGAGTAGTATTTCTCTGTCAGTGGTTGTATGCACGTGGTCATGTGGGAGCATTTCGAGAGGGAGAGCTGACTTTCCCCACTCTCAGCCGTACCAGGGCGTTTGAGGGCAACTGATTGTTGTGATACCCGACACTTCCACATTGCAACAACCAGTCGCCGCACTTTATGGGGGTATGGCTCAGTGGTAGAGTATTCGACTGCGAATTTCATTATACCGATCACCAATCATAAAAAACTGACACTAATCACCAAAGAAGCCTTCGAAATGAATGGAACCTTGTTTTTTCAAAGTTTACTTTAATTATTCACATGTTTTTTTGATTGATCTTTTCAGATTTGACTGTAACTCCTGAAGAGGTTAAAGCACGTCCTGGAACAACTGTACAATTTTTATGTGAATTATCTACAATTACCGGTATGAAAGGTGGTAAAGTATTCTGGATGCGTACAGATCGTCAAGATTTACGTCCTGGTAAAGAAGAAGTGATAGGAACAAATGGTGGTAGAGCTTTATTAATTGTTAAAGATGTTGGTCGATTCGATCATAATATATCTTACATGTGTACAGATGGTGTAAGTAATAGTAAAACTGTTGGCTATTAACTATTATGAGAAAGGCTAAAAATTACTTCATTTAATGATTTCATTCATTTATATTCTTTCTGATATTCAAAGTTTAATCATAATTATTAGCAATTGAGTAAAGGTTTCCATATGAATGTCAATCAGCTGCATATATCAACATTAGTCTTGTAGAGGCTAGTTTCCTCTATATCTGACTCCAATAAATGATATCGCGTTAACTGAGTATTTAAGGCAGGCTAAATCTCCTAGTAGACTTATGAAGTTACTCGAGATTATTCAGAAGCCTGAAGACCAGTTGTAGAGATAGTTTATTGTTTAAAGATTGGTAAAATCCGCAAGCACACAGGGTAACAAAGAGAGTGTGTGTGTGTGTGTTAAAAATCCATATATATTTATGAGTGTTAATCAAGTATGGGTAGATTATTGATTATCTGTGTGTATTACAACCAAATGGGAGAATAGATTAAACATTGACATGTGCTCAATAAGCCTCTCACAGAAAATTACATGATGGATCAAGTGTCTTAATGACAGTGAACAGATAAATAATACAGTAGTGGAATGGGCTTACTACAATCTCATTACTTTTCTTTATAAATGAACAAAGTAATCCTTACTATATTTCAGGTACCTATTGTTAGTGAAGCAACGATACTTATCATAAATTTGTGTTATCGAAAATTCAGCTTATATCTTGTTGTGCTGTGTTCATTATTGTGTGTATCATCTTTACATAATCAGAATATAATCATTTTTCACAGATTGAAATCATGAGTCAGTTGAAGCTAGACCACCATTGAAAACCTGGAAGCACTGGACGGCCGTTTCGTCCTAGTATGGGACTCCTCAGCAGTTCATCCAGGTTTTCAATGGTGGTCTATCTTCAACTGACTCATGATTTCAATCTGTGGAATTTCTAAGATCTCCACAAAACCCATTCTGATAATAATCAACTGCTCACTAGTGACTGACTCCAGGAAAAACTCCCGAAGTTCTAGTGAGAAGCCGTTACCAGTGGAGTTCAACCAGGTCTGTTGTGAGATAGGAACTCACTGAAGACAATGGTGTACGGTGGCGCAACTTCGTGGATTGGTTTAAGTTGGACATTAACACATTTGGATACCGGCCGACTCAGTGGTCTAGCGGTTAAGTGCTCGCGCGCGAAGCCAGTAGGTCCTGGGTTCGAGCCCCGCGTGGTGCGTGATCGTGGGTGCTCACTGCTGAGGAGTCCCGTACCAGGACGAAACGTCCGTCCAGTGCTTCCAGGTTTTCAATGGTGGTCTAGCTTCAACTGACTCATGATTTCAACCTGTGAAATTTCTAAAATCTCCACAAAACCCATTCTGATAACAATCATTTTTATTGACAATTATTCACGTATTCATATAAAGTATTATGTTGAATTCCTTTAGTTTGTCTAATGATTTCATAGACCCGAATGCCCTGGTATAGTCGAGAGTGGGGAAAGTCCACTCTGTGTGTGTGTGTCGAAATGCTTATATATGGGCACATGCATACAACCACTGACAGGGAAGTTCTGTTCACTGCCTTCTCGTGGTAATGGTGTTGCTTACGAAAATGAGTGAACGAAAAGCGAATATTCGGTGCTTTAACCGGGTTGGTGGACACAGAGGATCCACTTAGAAGAGTTTGAAAACCCTGATTACAAACTAGTGGTGCAGATGGGTTCTAGGACCCTAAAGGAACAAATAGCGTATGAACCTATTGTTAGTCACCAACTACCATGGGATTGCTCCATTACCTTGTGGATCATACCTTTTGGTAGAAGGCTCCAGGTGTAGCCCCCTAAGAGAACCACCTGACTCAGTTTGGGCACTCGGGCAGTATTCGAGCCCTGACACAAAACGAATGATTATATTTTGTTTGTAATTAAATTGTTTTCCTAAAGTACAAAATTATTTAACTCCTGTCATGCTTTAACTATTTTGATTTCATGTAAACTTTTAAAGTATAGCAAAGGTTATGCAAAACTATACGTCCAAGAAGTTTGTGCACCAGGATTTCGACCATGTGGTTCACAAGAATGTTTAGAAGAGACAAAATTTTGTGATGGAGTAGTGGATTGTGAAGATGGTTATGATGAAATTCCTTCAAAATGTAGTAAGTTAAATGTTTTCTGTCCATAATAATTATTTCATTTTATGAATCAACAAACACGTTTACAATTCGGACTAGTTCATCAAGATTCGGTTCACTGAATGACCTTTGAAAGTTAGTGAAATATAGACATTTATTTTATCATGACTTCTAACTCGTGAATAGACAGTATGTGATGTATATTACTTATATCTGTTAACATAAGTAGTATGTAGCTCCAATTAGAAGTGAAAAAACTGGCTGCAAATAGCTAAGAAGATCGGGTTGAGGAGAAAAGAAAGGGAAATAGAAATGAATTACGAACTTGAAAAATCTTACAGAATGTGAAGGACAAAGATCTAGGATGTCCATTTCGTCTTATTCAGGACTCTTCAGATGAATGTACCTTCATCTCAGAGTTGATATTCACTTCGGGACTCTAACCTAGTACCGTTTAATTCAAACATCATCACGTTATTCACTTAGCTACTGAGTTCTGATAGGTAGTAGCTAAGTGAATAACATCATAGCTTATGAATTGAATAGTACTGGGATTTAAGTCCTGAACTGAACATTGACTCAGAGATGCAGGTACATCCAGCTAACTAGTCCCGAATAAAATGAAATATTCACCTTGGATTCCATTGCTAGCCGCTATCCATCTCTTTAGTAGTACATTTCAAATGTGAAAATACCTTCAGATAAGGTTCCATTATTGATCTCATAATCATTCGAAAACTTTTGATCACTCTAAATCTAAACGTTTCATTATGTGGAACTGTAATTGTGTTCACTTAATTTCCAACATACAACGATGGTTTGTTCATTACATAATTCATAGGTGAATGTGGTGTCAATGAAAATGTTTGTGGTATTGTGAATGATGTGAAACCATTGAAAAATTGTTATTTACAATTTTGGCATTGTGATGGTGAAGATGATTGTGGTAATAATTATGATGAATCTAATTGTCTTGGTAAGTAAAATTATATCTTGAATGTATTTTATAAAACTTTACATAACTAAATAATGTGATAATGTGATGTGTACTACTGATATTGACAGATGATATAAGTAGTATGTATTATCAATGGTAAGTGAAATATCTGACAGCAAAAGGTTAAGAAGTACAAAGAAAGAAGAACAAGAATAAAGAATGATTGATGTGGAAATGAAGGAACAATGAAGTGTGAAACGATTGATTGACATTTTGTAAATAAAGTATTTACTGTATGGTTCTCAGATTTCACTAAGAGATTCCATAATGATGTATTCCAATACATTTTGGTTGTCCCCACTTGTGGGTTCTTGTTCACTACAAATCGAAAATGTTACCATTTCTGATGAATTTAGACTGAAGAACTTTTTTTGACGATGGAGGAATATTTAATAAGTTTTAAAAAGAGAGCTGAATGCTCTCAAATCTTAACTTATAACTTTACGATTGACATTGACTTGATAGTACCTTTTCTTAACCATGAAGGGAGGTGTTCACTAACTCTTTGGTTCAGTTGTCTGGTAGAACGCCTAACATAGCTTTCTACACAGGAGCAGATGAATTCGTAAATATACATAAAAGTGGTAATAACCAGGTAACTTATCCTTTAATTGGGGAATCACCATAGATCGGATAGAATACGATAGACAGAAGTTGTCAGCATTAAACGTTCTCTTAACTGTTCTAGTCAATCTATCCCGTAATACATCACTAGCTAAATCACCATTGAATTGCAGCTTCAAGAAAAGAGGTTTCTTATTGGCCGTCAATATCGCTATTTTCTTGCTTGTTACATGCAAGTGTTTCTTCAGGAAACCCTGTTGATAACCCATTTCAATCAACATATTATAAATGAGATCTAATTCCTTATTAATTGTATCAACTGAGCATATCTCGATAGCTCTATTTGCCAGACATTTGACTAAGTTTCTCTTACAACAAAGAGGTAGAAAGCTTAAGAAATGTGTGTAGTGGCTTGATGAAGAACGTTCCCTATACACACTTCTACTGATAGAACCACTTTCTTTTCTCTTTAACAAAACGTCAAGGAAATATAGTTTATTATGTATTTCCTCTTCACATGTAAATTTTATTGCTGGATGTTTGTTATTAAATACTTCCAATAGTTCTTTTTTCCAACTATTCTGATCGATAATAATGAAAGTGTCATCAACGTAACGACGGTAGAATTCGAGCTTCTTGATAACCTCTTTGACAGGTTTGTTTTCTAGTTTCGTAAGAAAAAAATCCACAAAGATAGAATCTAGAGGTGAACCTATTGCTATACCATCAATTTGTCTATAATATGTGTTATTAAAGACAAAATGGACATACATGGTACATTTCAAAAGTAATTCTTTAAGACTGACCTCAGGAGTTCCAATATTGATTTGTTTTTCATAAAGTTGTTAGCACATAAAATGTACATTGATGAACCATGGAAAATCTGGAAGCACTGGACGGCCGTTTCGTCCTACTATGGGACTCCTCAGTAGCGCGCATCCACGACCCCGCAACCCGCGATATTCGAACCCAGGACCTATCAGTCTCACGCCAGCCACTTAACCAACTAGACAAGTTAGCCGGCATCCAACGGTGTTAATGTCTAACTTCAACCAATCCACGAAGTTGCGCCACCGTACACCATTGTCTTCAGTGAGCTGATATCTCATAACAGACCCGGTTGAGATCTGTTGTGAGATATCAGCTCAGTGAAGACAATGGTGTACGGTGGTGCAACTTCGTGGATATCCATAGATATAACAAGAGTAAATTTCAAAGATATCTTGATACAGCTGTTTATTTCAGTAGTCATTCCATAAATAATCTTTAATCGACATACATGTTTAGTAATATATATGTGTCACTTTTTCAAGTTATATCTTCTTCATTTACTGTTAGCACCAAGTGTTTATGATCAATGCAATGGTACACATTATACTTGTCCACAAGGTGACAAAATGATAGCTCGAGCATTTATGTGTGATTCAGTGCCAGATTGTGAACCAAACGGAGATGATGAAAGTGAATGCAGTAAGTTGAATATATATATATATATATATTAGCTAATGAGTTAGTACATTTCAATTATGTAACCTTGTTTGAAAAGTGATATAAACGATAATTGATCAAGTGTTTCTATATTGTTCCTAACTAATCAACAATCATTCTGCTTAAGTATGCTTTATTGTTTTTCAAGATGAAATTACAAACGATTTCAGAATATGTCACAACAGTCCAACATGTTAACTGACGTCTATCAATTTATCAATCTCCTTCTTGTTATAACTTCTGGCCTTGTGCCTCTATCATAATATATAAATAACGTAATGATACCGTCAATTAGAGAACAATGATTTATCGATAGGACGAAGGACGCGTAAAACAAGTGCGAGCAGCCTAGAGTCCTGATTGGTCCTGCTTTCCACCTAGCACAGCCAGTTAAGTCCAGAACACCAATTGATCACTCTCTTATTGGGATATATGCATCTTGTGAAGATTGCCTTGATATTACCTTAAGTTATAAACAGGCAATATCGTGGCAATCCTCATAGGATGCATATATCCCAATAAGAGAGTGATCAATCGCAGTCTTAAACATCAATGGGAAGATTCAAGCAACCAATAAAAAATGATTTAAAACTTTACCCGATTGTACAAGCTAGTGACTATCGGGATTTAGTAGCTAAATGGATAACGTGGTAGAGTCTGAAGCGAACGTTACTGGGTTCGAGTACCGAAGTGAACATCAATTCTGGAATTCAGTTTACATCCAACTGATGAGTCCCAAATGGGACGAAATAATTACCTCAGTTTTTTTTGAAAATATTCAAAGTAAACAAGTGAAATTCTTTATTTTTTTTTTAACTCTCCAGGTTATCCAAGTATCATTGAACCATCTGGAGAAACACATTTAATAGGTCATCAATCAGAAAATTTAACTTTAACATGTGTAGCATATGGTCGACCACCTCCTACTATAAGTTGGAGATATAATTGGGGACATTTAAGAGAAGGTGTAAAACATTCTATTAATTATACAGTTATAAATTGTAATATGGCAATAAGTCATTTAACTTTATACGATTTGGAATCACGTGCAAGTGGTTTATATACATGTGAAGCTGTGAATCGTGGTCGTGCATTAGCACCAGATTTTTTAGTTAATGTAGCTAGTAAGTTTTGATGTATATATATTTTTCAATTTGCCTCTTAATCATGATTAAGAATTCGTTAAAAGACTATTTGATATTGTATTCTCAGAGGTTCACCATGGAAAACCTGGAAGCACTGGACAACAGTGCTAAGTAGGTCCTGGGCTCGAATCTCACAAGGCAGGATCGTGGATGTGCATTGCTGAGAAGTCCCAAAATAGAACGAAACTGCCGTCCAGTGCTTCAAGGTTTTCCATGGTGGTCTAACTTCAATTGATTCATGATCTCAACTATTGAAATTACTATCATATCCACAAAACCCGTTCCAATAGTAAAATAAATTATATTCCGAAAATGATTGTAGAAGGCCTATCAGTCAGTCAGCAACAACATAGAACTTCATACGTACGTACATCAGTTCACCTTTCTGGACCGGATGCAAGACGCAATAGACGCCCAGCTTCGAGATCAACAAGTTGGATTCCGTAGGGATCGGTCGTGCACAGACCAAATTGCGACACTACGGATCATCTTCAAACAATCAATTGAGTGGAATTCGTCACATTAGCACAGAGATACAATTCTCAATTCAAATCTCATAGTAGTACAGGTAGTAAACGTATAAGTAGTAATAGGAATGATTAGGATCTGAAGATGATATTCAAGCAGTATAATCCAATGAAATAAATTTAGAAAGAGAAAAAACAAGGAAGATGAAGAATAGTTTATGCATAAGAGATTTCAGTGCAGTTACAGAGTAATTATAATCATCTACAATTAGATTACAGGAAAGGAAAACAGAGTTTACGGGACAACAACTATAAAACTATTGTGACAGGTCTATTTTCATGTATGTAGTCGATGGTATTTTCATGTGTAGATAGTTTACGTTTCATATTGATCAAACCATTATGAAACTAAATATCTCTTAGAAACATTTTATCCTGTTAGTAGTGGTGATCAATGTCATGTATGTCAGGTCCTTCTTGGTGTAGATCGAGTTATATCGACCAAGTTGCCATGTGGCCACTAGTCTAGGTGATTCGAAATTGCGTGCACTATGTCGTGATAAGATGTTGGTTGCAGGTAGTCCATAGTAAACACTGAACCTAAGTTTCATGCTATTTGGCACACCTGCGCCACCCAGCTTCACAGTCAGTGACGTTACCACTAAGTTATCCGGACCGCAAATTACCTCCTGTAAAACTGAAATATATTTATAACCGATCGATCACTGGGTGGTGACCAATATCATGTGCGTGAGATTGAATCCGTTCAGGAGCATCAGTTCATTTAAGATTACAGGTGCACCTTGCTAATGTGTTCCAAATAGCACAAAACCTATGCCCATGGTTTAGTGTCGACTACCTCCAACAACCATCTTAAATACTCTTCACTTACTATAAAAATATAGCAGAAACAGACTGGATAAAAGTTAGTTAATCAGACATGTGCGATACTGTAACAAAGTTAATTGGACACTAAAAGTCTTTTAGTAAATCTGTACATTAACAAGATTGTGTTCTTATCCGACTAGCATCACACCGACAGTCTGATTCTCATTATTGTACTTTTAAAACAACATTTACACAATACAGAAAGCTATAAAATGACAAATTTAATCTTTTTAAAAATGATCACTTAAAGGGAGTTAGAAAACCCTAATTTCAAATCAATGGTACACAAGAGCTCCAGGATCTTGAAGGGAAAAAATGGCGTATGAACCAATCGTTGGTCATCTGCTACCATAGGACTGAATCTCCTAACGTCGCTCCACTGTCATGTAGATCAAGCCTTTAGGTCAAAGGCTCCGGATATGGCCCCTTAAGAAAACCAACTATTTCGGTCTGGTCACCCGAGCAGTATCACAGCCGACATACAAATCAAGTGACTTGTATGGCGCATATGGTATTCGATGCCCTTTTGTACCAATATCTCTGTGTTCAAATCAATAAATAATGTATAGTTACTTCAATTGAAAGCAATTCTAATATATACTTCTGCATATTGTTTTCTTTCTTTACATTTACAGAAGGTGGTATTTGTAAAGCGCCACAATTTAATGATGCGGCATGGTTTGATGATATGTGTTTAACATGTTATTGTTCAAATGTAACAGATAAATGTACAAGTGTAAAAGGTTATCGAAAGTCACCTGTAAGATTTGTTTTTTCATTAAAATTGACATTTTAAAGTTGTTTATATGGGAATACTCCTTCTCCTTCTCCTCCTCCTCCCCCTCCGCGTGCGAGTCCCGTATACGGGATCATGGATGCGCACTTCTGAGGAGTTCCACAATAAAACGAAACGGCCGTCCAGTGCTTTCAGTTTTTCAATGATGGTCTAACATCAATCGGCTCATGATCTCGGAGTGACGGATATTTGAAATATCATCAATGAACTTAAGAATGTACATGCTGTTAAGCTGTGCTGAGAATTAGTTTGATTGAAATTACGTGCATATTTTATTTGTAAAATCTATTAACGGTTCGAAAATGTGACTAGACCATACATTTTAGTTTATTAACTCACAGTAACTAATGAAATGAAGAATAATATCGATATGGATACTCAGTAGTTTACTTGATAACTTCTACATTCATTTGGGAATATAAGCAAAACAATTCTGTAATAACTTGCTTACTTACTTATGTCTGTTACTCCTCATCGTGGAGTATATGCCATCCACCAGTACTCTACATCCTTTTTAGTTGCTAATCATCATTTTCATGTATGCTTCAAATTCTCAACGTAGTGTGTTTTTCGACCCTCCACTTTTCTGTTTCCCTTCAGGATTTCAAGTTAGGGCTTGCTTCGTGATGTAGTTTGATGATTTCTTCAATGTGTGGCCTATCCACTTCCATCATCTTTTCCTAATTTCGTCTTCAGGTCCAAGCTGGTTTGTTCTCTTCTACAGTAGACTGTTGCTGATGGTATCCGGTTAACGGACATTGCGTATCTTGTATAGACAACTGTTTATAAATACTTGTACATTTTTGATGATGGTTGTAGTAGCTCAGTAATATTCAGCTCCATACAATAGAATTCGTATTGAAGATTCTGACTTTATTGTTGACTGGTAGACAACTATTTTATGTTCCATATGTCCTTCAACTGTAGGAATATTGTCCTTGCTTTTCCAATCCTTGCCTTTTCGTCTACATTAGACCCTCCTTGTTCATTGATGATGCTGTCCAGGTACATGAAAATTTCCACCTCTCCCAGAGTTTCTTCATCAAGTATGACTGGGTTATATTTGAGGATGTTGAGTTCCGTAAGAAACAATTATCTAATTATGACTAACTGGACAGCAGCATCAATTCAACCCCTTCTGTATGTGGGGCATTTTCTTCTCCATGGCCGGAGTATAACAGAATCTCCCCTGAAGCTAGTCATTGTTGTCCAACTTTCGTCCAATGTGTTTCACTGATCCCAAGCACCTCTAGGTCGTATCTCCTCATTTCTGCAGCAATTCGGAAAACTCTCCTGGTCTCCCACCTTGTACGAGCATCCCATGTACCTAAATAATTGGTTGCGCTCGTTGTCAAAAGGGGCATCGGCCTTGTGACTCCCGAAGGAACTCGGCTTTCACCATGAGGCATCGCAGTTCTTCTAGATGAAGACCTTCTGATTCCCAGGGCAGAGTTTAAAAGGTTTCAATAATTATTTCTGGTTAGCGTTTTTTTAACGAGTTAGTTTTCTACGGGATGGGGTCGCTAACCCCATGCCCAACCCTCCTCCTTTATCTGGGCTTGGGACCGGCAGTAGTTCCCACAGGGACTCCAGGCAGAGTTGGTCATGATTAATTACTGATTGTTATTCATAATTAACATGTAATTCACTTGATGTGACATTGTACCATATGAAAATGTATATATGTATGCATAAAATGAAATCCATTTCAGAAAGAAACTTGACCTTTTTAAGCTTTAGTCATGGTCGTATTAGTCATTATGACAAAACGAAAAGTGGTTGAGAATCAATTGGACCTGTCAAAATATATGTTGACAGAAAAGTACTTATCGTTACCTATTTACTTGTTTAATTTTTTTAAAAGGTTGAAAACAAATTTCAACATAATAACTAACTTAACATTAAAAGTACAATTTTTCTGATGTCATTACTACTGAATGATATCAATGGATATAGGAGTTAACAAACCGTAGATCATAACTGTAGATGATCTATGTCGAATGATTGTAGGCCTACTCGAGTTAGACGGGAATGGTGTGACAAACCAGTTAACTTAGAGATCACACTTTGATGTCAACATCTAACGTGAATTACTCCTTCGACGTATCAAAGTGATATGGTTGCTTTGAAGACTGTATAACACAAAGAAGAATGTTAAGGAAATATATTAGTAAGAATGAGTACAGTGAAGATAGCGAGACCACGACGGCATGCGTCAGTCCATGACATACAATTAACTGATGCGCGTTGGTTGTCCTCGACCTTGACAGGGATCGATGAATTGTTCGATATTCAGTAACCAAACTATCGAGTGATTTGGTTAGGGCCCTACACAACCATATTCATCTGCCCTCATTTACTAATCTAAAGAAAATTTCATATTTCAGTTAATTGCACTAAATTCATTGATGTATGTAAACCTTTGGATTAAAGAATTTTATCTCTACTGAAGTCAATCGGTTATTCTATTTCTATTGGATTTAATAGTACAACTGATAATGATGAAGATTTGTAGCTCAGTTGGATGATTTTGATAGAATTTTATTCTCTGAACTCGATAGTTTGGTCGTAGATCGTTCATTGTTCTTCTGAACAACATCATCAACACAAACTTTAGATAGAATTTTCAGTTCAGAGAACAAAACTCTATCAAAATTACAATTGGTCTATGTTCAAAAGTCCTAGATATTTTCTGAAGCATCTACACTTTCACATTCAACTGTATTTATATTTTGATCAATTCAGTTCAATGAGAGTTTGAATAAATACAAAGTATTAATAGGAAATATATGATATTGATTGAGATGATGAATCGATTAATGTTAGATCACCATGAAAAACCTGGAAGCATTGGATGGCCGTTTCTTCATCAGTGCGCATCGACGATCCCAGGTCGCGAGATTCGAACCCAGAACCTATCAGTTTCGTTCATGAATACTTGACCTCTAGACCACCGAACCGACCAGCATTCAACGGTATTAATGTCTAACTTCAATCAATCTATCATTGTCTTCAGTGAGTTACTATTTCACAACAGATCTGGTTGAACTCCGAAATGACCGTCCATTGCTTCAAGGTTTTCCATGATGGTCTCACTTCGATTGACTTATGATTTCAATCCGTGAAATTTCTAAAATCTCCACAACAAAAACCCTTTCTGATAATAAACTATATTTGTTTATCTTATTTGTTTGATTATCTAATCACTATACATCCATGTGTTGTAATCTCAAAGAAAAATTATACTAAAAGAAAATAGATAAAAGCAATTAGGATTATTATTATTATTATGTCCCAAAAGAATAAATACAGTTTACATTATTCAATTTTGAATGTACTTTGAGATTTCTTACAGTATGTTTGATAAATATGTGTAAATTCTTATGTATGTATGTGTGTATGTATGTATGTATGTATGTATGTATGTATGTAGGTAGGTAGGTAGGTAGGTAGGTTGGTAGATAAGTAGGTAGGTATGTAGTTATGTAGGTAGGCATGTAGGCAGGTAGACAGGTAGATATGTAGGTAGGTAGGTAGGTGGATAGGTAGGTGGATAGGTATGTATGTATGTAGGTATGTATGTATGTATGTATGTATCTGTGTGGGTAGGTAGGTCGGTAGGTAGGTATGGTTAAAATAATTCAGACAAAAATAATATAAACATATGGTTTCAATTCGAAAGAAAAAAAAGAGAAAAATATATCTAAATTACACTGGTCTATTAAAGGAATTTATAGATGGAATATTCAGTTGGTAACAGTTTTCTTTTATTAGAATTGGAATTTGTGTAGATTATGTTATCTTCCTAGTTGAATTCATGAATCAATTTAAGCTAGATTGAAGTTAGATATTGAAACTGTTGAAAGGTAGTAGTAGTAGTAGTTTAGAGGTTAAGTGTTGATGTATGAAATCGAAGGTGTTGAGTTCGAGTCTCATATGTGAGATTGTGAATGTGCAGTGCCATTCAGTACTTTTAAGTTCTCCATAATGATTTCATTAATTCAATCATTAAAATTAATTTTCATTAGTGACAAAATTTTAAAAGATTTAATTATTCCATACTTACTTACTTACTTACGCCTGTTACTCCTCGTGAAGGAGCACCAGCATTCTCCATCCAACCCTGTCCTGAGCAATCCTTTCTAGCTCCTTCCAGTTGTAATTCATCTTTTTCATATCTGCTTCTATTATCCGACGTAATGTGTTCTTTGGCCTTCCTCTTTTCCGCTTCCCTTCAGGATTCCAAGTTAGGGCTTGTCTCGTGATATCATATCATATCACTTATGAATGATCATGCATAGTTGGTTACCACTTAACTACTTGAAGTGATTTTAATACCTGATGAATGTTTCCATCTATATATGAAATTAAAAAAAACTTGTTGTCACGGCAACGAAACTGTTTCTTTATCAAAAACCAGTCATACTTGTGATCATTAAACACAGTTATATAAGTTTATCATATTTTTCATAGTTTTACATGCATTTCTCTTTTCATCGAAAAGGAATAATTGGATAGTTGATGAATGTGTGTATATCAGTATATGATAGTGTATTGTGAGCTACTTATATACGCATAAGTAGTATATAATGATAGTCATGAATAGAATGTATTTCAGTAGAAGATCGAAAAGGGATGGGAACGGAAAACAATTCGTATGAAAATGTACGAACAATGAAATCTGAGATGATGGACTGATATTTACAAAAGAAACAGTTAACATTGAGATAATGGATTGATAGGTACGTCCAACTGAAGAGTCTCAAATGGGACGAAACACGCGTCATGGATTCCATTGTTGTCCACTATCCATCCTTAATTATAAAACTTATGATTTAAAGTAATATCGAGGTAATCCGCACAGAATGTATATATACCAACAAGAGATTGATTAATTGCGATCCTTAACAAGAATTGGGAAGATACAAGCAAACAACATCAAGTGAATTTATATTCCATTCATATTTTTATTTTTATTTTTCTATTGATAGCATGATCTAATGTTCGACTATAAAACAACTCCAATCATATTAAGTACATATAATCAAGATGGAAGTGTTGAAGAAGGTCAAGGTGTAACTGAAATTGACGGTGATATACTTCGTATACCTGATGTTCCTAATGAAGCAACATTTGTTGAAAGTGATTTTAATCTTTCAGGTTCATGGGTTAGTTCTACACATTTGTATTATTATTATTATTATTATTATTATTATTATCATTGTGACCAATCATTATTTCAGATTACATAATGGTTATTAAATCATTGAATGTTGAGATGATTGTATATTCGTAGATTACTAGTATTTGATCATAGGTGTTTTCGAAACATTGCTTGTATATCATGGGACCATCGAGTAATTAATGCAGTTGTTAGGAAACGGGTACTAGGTAAGGATGGCAAATCAATTGATGAAGTAGTGAAACTTCATCAGTTGAGATGGCTGGGACACGTGTTACGTATGCCCAACGACCGACTACCTCGACGTGCGATGCTTTATGATGTAGGAGTAGGTTGGAAGGAGGCTAGGGGTGGTTAGACCAAAACATGGCACAAATTCATGAAGTCACTGACAAATAAGCTAAGCCATGTTGTTAGGTGTATACTACCTGGTTGGGGATTGCGAGATGATAGCAACCGATGGTTAGGCACCCTGAATGACATGGCTCAAAATCCTTTGCAATGGCGCAAGTGCATCTACTATTTCTGTTCTCCCAAATTCTAATCTTCTGAATTCTTCATGTCCCTTATTTTCTTTTCAAATTTATTTCACTGGTTTATACCCCTTAGACAACATCTTCAAACCCTAATGTTTCCGATTACTGCTTATACTTTTACTACCTCCACCACTACGGAATTTGAGTCAACGTTTCTATCTCTGTGTTAATGTGGTATGGCAACTCGAACTGATGTACGTACGTACGGAGTTCTATGTTGTTACTGACTGACTGACCGACTGACTGACTGAGATGATTGTCTTCAGTATATCCATTTAAAGTACTATGAACGGCATTGATTACATTATATTAAAGTCGAATATTAACTTATAAGTGTATATGAAATGAGAGGAAATCGATTCTTTGGAAGAGACCACTATTCACATATGTCATCTGTTGTTTATATAAATGTTTGAACTATACAGAAAGAAATTACTGTTCAAAGAACTTTACTTTATACACTTGAATAGCATGTTATTGTTTTCTTTCTTAATATGACATCTTTAAGGTATGAATTAGTATTGTATTTACCTGTCTTTCATTTACCAGAATGATAGTTCTACTCAATAGGTTGTATTCTAACTGTACATTTTATACAACTAGCTGATGAGTCCCAAATAGGACGAAGTAGCGCACATCCTGGATTTCACTACTAGTTACCATTCATCTTTGTTTACTCTGTTTTCAGTTTATTGAATTAAATAATAGAACATTCATACTAATGATTAGAAATAAGATATGTATTCTTGGAAATTTCACCAAGATTATTTAGACTATAGAGTTATTTACATCACTAATTGTTCAGTGACATCATCCTCTGAGTATCATGAGTACCATAGTAAAGAGTGATTTTACTCCAAATTCAAGGCATACTATCAATCATCTACAACTGGAGAGAAGTAAATAAAAGTAGTTCATGGAGCAATGAAATTAAAAGTACCATGATAGGTCTCTTGTCAAACTGTAGAGGTTAGCTCCTCTAGATGTCCCGATAACCTGATATATTTTTAGACCAATTCTTCTAGTATCATCATGTATTTACTCAAGAATATCTAGAAACCAGAACGTGAAATGTTGGAATAAAGTGAATTATCAATAATTTACAATTAACTGGTCACTAGATAGTGGTCAATGTTAACGTGTATTAGGTCCTACTTAGTGCAAATCGAACTCTATCGGCCAAGTTGTAATGTGACCACTAGTTTAGATGACTGAACATCGCATGTACCGTGTTGAGATGAGATGGTGATTTCAAATAGTTGACCGAAAACCATGGAACAAGGTTTCATGCTATTTAACACTCGTCAGCAAGATGTACGTGTAATCTTGACGGGAACTGATGTTCCCTGATTGATTCGATCCCGTATTATTAATAATTAACAAAATTCGCAAACGAGCGATAAGCTAACACACTGAGAAATCAGTAATGGACAACTGTGTAAAAAGTCTAAACGATTATGTTCGTTTGTATGAGTATTAATCGATACGTTGACACCAAATAAGAGGGTAGAAAGATTAAGGTACAGGTATACATTTAATCAGACTCACGTATACTTCCAGTTATCTAAATTACAGCGAATAGGTAATAAAAATTATAATGATATTTTCCAAACTATTTTCCCATCTAAGAGTTCAGACAGCTTTTATTTAAATTGATAAACTTTTATATACTTCATAAGCAAAGATGGATGGTGGTTAACAGTGGAATCAGGATGTGTGTATCGTCCTATTCAAGACTTGTCAGCTGGATGTACCTGTATTCCAGAGTTGATGTTCACTATGGGACTCGAACCAAGTACCGTTCTCTTCAAACGTCATCACATTATTCACTCAGCTACTGGATCTTGATACATACAAGCAAACAATACCAAGTGTATTTTATTTACTTCTTTTGATAATAAAGTGGATAATGTAATGAGTATGATTTTTATTTATTTATTTAAACACATAAATATTGGTACAAGGAGGCACCAAATAGATAGGCTCCACATGAATCATTTGATTTGTTGTAAGGGCTGGAATACTTCTCGGGTGCTCAAACCGAAACAAGTAGTTTTCTTAGGGGGGCCATACCCGAAGGTATGATCCAAAAGGCAATGAAGCAACGTCAAAAGATGCAGTCTCATGGTAGCCTGTGACCAACATTAGGTTCATACACCATTTATTTCTTCAGGATACTGGAGCTCATGTGCACCATTAATTTGGTTTGGGATCCGGTTAAAGAGCCGGACATTTGCTTTTCGTCCTCTCATTTTCGTAAACAACACCTCCCGCCACGAGAAGGCAGTGAGTAGGACTTCCCTGGCAGAGGCTGTATACACGTAGCCATGTGAGAGCATTTCGAGAGGGAGGTCGAGCACATCCCACTCTCGGACATACCAGGGTATTTGGGGATAAAACCAATAGTAAAACGTTTCTATGACAATTTTCATTATCTAATACACCACTCTATTTACAATTCTAGGTGAAATCTTATGGATATGATATAATATTAAATCTTCGTCTATTTGGTG